AAAGTTTCTTTTCCTTCTAAAAGACAAATGACTAGACTTGACAGTGGACTGTTTTACCAAATACTGCTGTAATGTCTGCTGATGTGATGTCAGTCAAATATGCAGATTGCTATCTACACTCTTAGAAAAAAGGGTTCATTGGGGTTCCATATATGAGTTCTTTACTCAACTCCAAAGAACTTTATATGCTAATAAAAGGTTCTATAATGACAAGAAAGAGCCTCTTTGGAACCTCTTTATAGGCTATTTTTCATTCATATATTTCATTATTCTGCAACATTTTGTAGTTGTAATTAAATTATTGTTTATTAAACTGTTGTAACTTAATATCACATTTTAATCATGCTGATTTTTGGAAGAGAAAAACTGAAATGGCACTCTTCGTGTGATATTAATTAACTACATAAAAATGATATAAATATATACATTTTCTAACCCCCATTTCTTGAATTTTGTGATCATTCTCATGCATTCATAAATACATTTTAGGGTCTTGATGTTCGTCAATAATATGAAATATTTAATCCGGAAAGGACAAAACAAATGATAATGAATGAACCCAAAACGTTCCATATAGAACCTTTTTCCCTAAAGGGTTCTTATTATTGAACCCTTAAAAGGGGTTCTGTACAGAACTTTTTAGGGGTTCCAAATATGTAGCGCTGATAGAACCTTTTAAGGTTCTATAATGTACCTTTTCTAATATTTTTTCTTCTTCACACAAACATTTTGATATTTAAAGTGAACAAAACACCAACAATAAAAAGTCCAATAAAAAGTCCACAAGTCCATAGATAACGCCATCAGTTCATACTGCCATACAAGTGGATGCAATGCGACCTGTATGTTCATGTGACGTTTGGCATAAATCTATTATTTGTCAAATAAATCATGCAGTGAAACATATCAGGCTAAGTAATAAACACGCTTGTTTGGATTTGTATTGTGTAATAGCATGGGGATGTGTAATAGCACAACTTACTTCCGCATTCTGTAAAACAGATCGCATCACTTCCGGTTCAGGTCTTTTGTATGTGCTTCATGAATTTTTTTGCGGTTTTACTCAAAAGGAGCGAGCAAAGACTAGCATAACAAATGTCCCTCACATATCCAGATTGATATTTAAACGTTTTATATATTTTTTTCTTCACAGTAACGTTTTTTTTCTTCACCATTTAGATATTTAAATGGAATAAAACGCCAATAACAAAGTGAACTAGGTAGGTTAGCTGATTACCTTAAAAATCCATAGATATCGTAGTCAGTTCTTACGGCCGTTAACACTTTCTCTGACAAGCGGATGCGATGAGACCCGTTTTCCGGTTTGGTCACGTGACGCACGGCATAAAGCCTATTCTAAGATACAGTAACATTTCCTATTTATTTCCTTCAAATGTTATCATGAAAGGAATAGTTCACTTCAAAATGAAAATTCTGTCATCATTTACTCGCCCTCAAGTTTTTTCAAACCTGTATGAGTTTCTTTCTTCAGCTGATCACAAAGGAAGATATTTGAAGAATGTCAGTAATCAAAAAGTTGATGTCGCATATGCGCATTTTTCCTACAATGGAAGTCAATGGGGTTCTTTGACTGTCTGGTTACCGACAGTCTTCAAAATACCTTCCTTTGTGTTCAGCGGAAGAAAGAAATTCATACAGGTTTGAAACAACTATTCCTTTAACGCTCAATCGTCCACAAACATAATGCGCATCCTTTTCTAAGACCCAAATGAGGTGATATTCAGCTGTGTGGCAGCTGAGGGAAAACTCTGCTACTTATAGACTATGCTCAAAGCAACACGGCCACAATTGTGTTCAAAATCTTTTTATCAGGCCAACATTAACGCCTACGAGCTAAATCAACACCCTATCCGCACAAAGAGCGCTTCAGTCTAAAACAACACATTGCCTCATCCCTTTACTCCAACCTTTTCCTTTTTCTTCTTCTTTTTTTGGGTCTGTGGCAGCATCTGCTGTTCCCCTGGCCACGTCTGCGGCCTGTATTAGTATCATTTTAATGGTAAAAGCAAAAGAAGGGCAGGGGACGAGGCTCAGAAGGGTGGTGGGTGTTTTAGCAGGCTCAAACTGAATAATGTGCCTCAGTAATAAGGTCGAGAGCAGAGCCCGTAGCCTTGGGCTTTGACCGTCTCAGTGACCTGATTATGTCAGCCAGTGTCAGCCGCCACGACACTACAAACACAGCGCATCCCATCAACGGCATCGCCATGCCAATACGTCCAGCCAAGCCCTGCAGGCACTTTCAGTATAGACAAGGCCGTACCAGTTTGTTAGGTAACATCTACCATACACATGCACACACTTGAGTGTCAATTTATCATCCACTGAAGTACACAATGTCAGTGTTTAGAACTGTGCATTAATCTTTAGAATATTTATCAAAAGTTATACCTGAACACAATAGTTCTTAACCCTTTGTTATTTCATGTGGTGACCCAACAATAGTCGCAAAATGGAAATAAATATAATTGGTAATACCCTTGTCATATCGTATATACACTCTCAGACAAAAAGGTACAAAAGCTGTCACTGTACCTTTTCAAAAGGTAAACTTTTGTCCATTTTAGGTGCCAATATGTACATTTTAAGTAATATGTAAAATTTAGGTGCTAATATGTACATTTTAGGTGTTAATATGTACATTTAGGTGCTAATAATTACATTTTAGGTGCTAATATGTACATTTTATGTGCTAATATGCTAATTTCAGGAGCTAATGTGTCCATTTTAGGTCCTAATATGGACATTTGAAGTGTTAATATGTACATTTTAGGTGCTAATATGTCCATTTCATGAGCTAATATGTAAACTTTAGGTGTTCAGTACATTTTAGGTACTAATATGTACATTTTAGGTGTTAATTTTAGGTGCTACTAAGGTACCAATATGCAGCCTTTGGGTACAAAAGTGTTTGTTATCCTTTTGAAAAGATACAGCCCCAGTGACAGCTTTTGTAACTTTTTTTCTGAGAGTGTACGTTTGTATGGACAGGTTGATGGCCAATTTCGCTGGTACTTGTGACCAAGTGACAATAAAGTTCATTTCATTCCAATAATGTTTCATTAGGTAAGATTTGTTAACTTATGTAAGCTTGTATCCGGCACAGAATAAAACTTTTTAGATAAGTGATAAGTGAGATAAGTGACTTTATATTTTACAATTGTGAGTTTCCATCTCACAATTCAGTTTTTTTTTTCTCAGAATTGCGAGATATAAGGTCAGAATAGCGTGTTATAAAGTAAAAATTATGAGACATAAACTCACAATTGCCTATTATATAGTCAGAATTTCCAACTCGCAATTATGAGATAAAAAGTCGCAATCATTGTTGATTTTTATTTTTTTAAATTCTTTAAAAAAAAACGTTTTATTAATTCTGACTTTTTTGTGAGTTTATGTCTCACAAGTCTGACTTTATAACACGCTATTGCGACTTTATATCATGCAATTCTGACTTTACATCTCCCAATTGCGTGTTATTAAAAAAATTGTCATGCAATTTGGAGAGAAACTACTATCTAATATCTAAACTAATAAAACGAATCACTAATATTAACAAATGAGACCTTCTTGTAAAATGTTCTCATATAATAATAATAATAATAAAAAAGATAAAAAAACATACATATTTAAATATGTCAAAATTTTATAATAATTAAAATTAAATAAAAATTTATAAAATAACACATTTTATATGCAGTATATGGTTGGTAATATTTTTGTTGTTTTTGAAAGAAGACTTTTATGCTCACCAAAGCTGCATGTATTTGAATAAAAATACAGTAAGGAACAGTAATATTGTCAAATATTATTCCAATTTAAAATAACTGATTCCCATTTCAATATCTTTTAGAAATTAATTTATTCCTTTGATGCAAATCTGAATTGTCAGCATCATTACTCCAGTCTTCAGTGTCATATCATCCTTATGCTGATTTGGTGCTCAAGAAATACAGTATTTCTTCTTATTTTCAATGTTGAAAACAGTTGTGCCGATTAATATTTTTATGGAAACCATGATATATTTTATATATATATATTAAAAAAATCAACAAAAAAAATCGCACTGAACGCAATCTTTTGAGTGGCAGTGTATATTAAATAAATTTGTGTGTACTAAACGTATCTTTTACACATATATCTGCGTAATGTGGCCTGTTTGTACTAGGTTATAGATGAGTATGATTTACAATTCAATCAATCATTTACCTTTAACGTCAACCACAAAAGATATGGAGACCATTTTCTCCTCCCCGTTAAAAGCTGATAAGCCGATTTATTGTGCTGCCGTCACTGTGCACATGGTTCCTTTTACATATAAAATGTCATTAGATTTTTTTTTTATTACATTTACAGCCAAAACTGTTAAAAGCACCCATAAAGCCTTCAATAAGAGTGGGTCGGCTACATAAAGTGGCCCCCAGCATGCAATTTCTCAAATAATGCTTTCCATCGTACAGAAGAGAAAGTGTCAATGCGAGGAGGGGAATGATGAGACAAGGGTTAAGGTAAATAATGCTGTTTGTAGCGTGAAAGGGCACATTGGCTATACAATCTTTCCTTTAATATGGGAGCGGTGCGCACCTGCGATAAGATGATTCATTAGATAGTGCCCTGGTCTGACAAGCCTCATCGTTCAAGCCTCTGGATACTGATGGAACAATTCTGCAGCCGGCTCCGTAAATATGACAAGGTCAGCATTTTATCCCCTGCACTCCCACACTGTCGTCCCATTTAAACAAAACGCCCCTCTCTGGCTCGCTCTAACATGGCTAAAGACGGGGCACGGAGGTCAGTACTGAAGAGTGGATTTAGATATCGGAGTTACATTACACTAATAACGAATATCACGTTCACACCACTTCAGAACACTTCTCCATATCTACTTGTACTTTGTCTTATAGTTCTATGATTTCTGTGGCTTATATGTGCATTTCATGTGGGCATAATCTTTTAAATGTGCGGTTTGTTTATGCACGTACCTGTCCTTGTGCATTGGTGACTAGTTGTCCAGTGACCCCCTGCAGACCGGAGAGAGCATTCCCAAACACCTGTGACCCGGCAATTGAACCCATCGCTGCTGCCGCGGCAACCGCTGCCTGACTGGCCAGAGGGTTGAGCTAAGGAAGAGAACACAGAATGAAAAACTAATGATTTGACAAATTGATTACAGTCAGAATTGATTAAATTTAGAGGTCTTTTTCACACGTTTAAAACGTTCAATAAAAGTGTCCACTAATGGTAAATTATATTTTTCCCCTTATTTGTAAGTCTCTTTGGACAAAAAATAAAGACTTAATAAACTTTGTTGAATGTTTTTTCATTGGTCAACATTATTGCCAACATTTGGCAACAATACAATACTGACGCTTGGGTGCATTTCTCATATCATAACGAAGATTCTCTAAACTACTTTGTCATTATTATTACATTAAATAGCAAATGCTTTGGTACATTCATGTAATTGATTATGTACAATTGCCTGCTGTTTCATACATTATCAATCGCTTATGTCATGTTGATCAAAATATATTATACTGGTTGCCTGTTGAATAGTCTTAAAGGAGTAGTTCACTTTAAAAAAACTTTTGCTGATAATGTACTCACCCCCATGTCATCCAAGATGTCCATGTCTTTCTTTCTTCAGTCGAAAAGAAATTAAGGTTTTTGATGAAAACATTCCAGGATTTTCTCCATATAAGTTTGCAGTTTGCACTGAAACTGTCTTTTGGACCATGAACCGTTTGGTTCCTATTGAAGTCCATTATATGGAGAAAAATCCTGGAATGTTTTCATCAAAAACCTTCATTTCTTTTCGACTGAAGAAAGAATGATATGGAAATATTGGATGACCTGGGGGTGACTAAATTATCAGCAAAAGTTTTTTTAAAGGTGAACTACTCCTTTAACTCTCAAAACATCTAGACATTACTTCTACTTCTACATTATAGATCTCTTAACCAGTTCTCCAGTTCTGTAAGATAGCTTAGAGGTTTATCTCATGAAGCTTCATTTTCCAAGCCTTCATAGACAGAGCACAACACAGTGTTACAAAATTTGACAATGGAAGAACAACAAGGAAACAAACAGGGTCAACAGCCGGAATAAAGGAGAACAGAGGCAGAAAAGAGGAAGAGGAATAAGAGGACAAAATTGAAGACATGTCTCTGACTGAAATGAGGGCCACTTGTGGACAGTGTTCTCATTAATTCAAAAATTCTCAACCAGACACCAGCTTCTGGCAGCGTTTCTGAGGAAATTCCTCATGAGCAATGTCCTCCAGTTCAGTAATGTTCTTGTGTTTGTCTGCTCCAACTGCCTTCTTCATATCCCAATAGTTTTTTCTAGGGGTTCAAGTCAGGTTTCTGTGATGGCCACTGTAGAATCTTCCAGGACTTCGTCTGCAACAAAGCATCGGTGGAATCTGAGGTATGCTTGGGATCATTGCCCTGTTGGAAGGTCCAATGACGTCCAAGCTTCAGCTTCCTCACCGACAGCATGACGTTTTCTCCAAGGATTTCTTGATACTTCAAGGAATCCATCTCGCTTTCCAAACGCTGCAGGTTTCCAGTGCCAGAAGATGCAAAGCAACCCCCAGAGCCCCACCATGCTACATGATTCAATCTTCTTACTCCACATGTAATGATGATCCATAGGGCTGAAAAGTTCCTTTTTGATTAGAGTTTTCTTTCATCGTTGCATGCGTTTAGTACATGCTTTACTGTGCAAGCTGATGCCTCTGCCTGTTGTCACCAAATCTTGCTGCAGGTCTTTTGCAAGGGTTTTTCTGAACCTGCCTTGTCAGAAATCGGTTTGCAGCCGTTGATAGTTTCCTTTTTCTGGCCCATCCAGTTAGTGTAACCACTGTTCCTTTAACTTTTAAATTGCCTTTAATATTTCATGTGTTTTAGCTCTAGCAAACCTGGTGCAACTAATGAAGCCATTGATTAGTTGCATCAGGTGTGCTTGAGACAACACCTGTTTTGCAAATTTGTGCTATTGTGAGGGATTCTATTCAGGGGGTTGAATAATTTTGAGACTGCAGTAGTCATGTGTTAAGGTATACTCCACTTTTTTTTTTTTGGAAATAGGCTCATTTTACAACTCCCCCAGATTTAAACAGTCAAATTTTAGCTTTTTCAAATCCATTCAGCCGATTTTCTGATTTTTAGAGGAATATCTTTAACCAGGCAGTTTCTGGTCTCATTGACTTCCATAGTATATATTTGTTTTCCATTGTATTGTTTTTTCCTACTATGGAAGTCAATGAGACCAGAAACTGTCTGGTTACTGATATTCTTCTAAATATCAGAAAATCGGCTGAATGGATTCGAAAATGGTAAAACTCAACTGTTTAACTCTGGGGGAGTTGTAAAGTGAGCCTATTTCCAAAAAAAAAAAAAAAAAAAAAAAAATGTGGAGTATCCCTTTACAGTTTTTCTCAATTGCTTTGGCTCAGTTCTCAAATGTTTTTTTTATTTCCCAAAACATTAAGTTCAGATCTCTGAACAATTCGCTTCTTTTTCACATCAGATTGTAATTTCTTATTGATTTGAGCAAATTGCAATTGCTTTGGCACATGTGTGCAAAGAGTACATACAACTGTCTGCAGTTTGGACAACAAATAATTGTATATGGCTTGTTGATCAAAACTGATGACTCGATTCTCACTTACACTGTCAAACACTTCAGAACTTCTCAGACATTTTTTATTGTGTAAGCCATCACATTCAAAACGATCTATTCAATTATCATAATTAGTATACATGAATGTATATTCTAAAATATATCTGACATTGACATTGTTTGTAATGTTTGCTAAAATGGCACATGACTTCTAATTGCATTCGCAATCTAATTGCAAATTACCTCTAATATGAATCAACCATTTAACCATTTAACCAATCAATATTGGGAGTATATATATATATATATATATATATATATATATATATATATAGAGAGAGAGAGAGAGAGAGAGAGAGAGAGAGAGAGAGAGAGAGAGAGAGAGTGAGTATATATATAGAGAGAGAATATATAGAATGGAGGACATTCGCAACCCTGAACTGCACCAACATACTCATGGAAGAGCAATTGGAAGGCGTGTAAGAATACGTGGTGGTGGTAGAGGAAGAAATAATCGAGGAAGAGGTGGAAATAGAAGAGTCAGAGTCTCTGATGAAATCAGAGCCACACTTGTGGATCATGTCATAAATCTGACCATTGCAGGGGATGGGTGCGGCATTTAGTTTTTTTCCACGGTGTGTGGCAATGGTAACATCAGATGTGATGTTGATGAAAATCTTTGGCCTGACCAACGTGAGCGACAAGATGTCCACCAAGAATATTATTTTTTTTTCATGAATGTTATTTGTTGTTTGTGTATTTGTGGTAATACACAAATATGAAATGTAAAGTGAAATCGTGTTACTCTTGTCAGTTACTTTACATGTACAGTAAATACACTTATATTGTGTACACATGAAGTACAAAAATAAACACTGTAAAAATACAAATGTTCATAGAATATTTTTTTTTCTACATACTATTGAGTTTTCTCAACAAATATGAGATTTGTTTACAGTAAACCCTTAATTTTCATGGTTGACTGTTGTGGTGAAAAAACAACTAAACATTTTGACCAGTGTGGCTCACACAATGACAAAAATACTTTAGATTTTGGTGGCCTTGGCCAAATTATTGACAAAATAACTAGGTTTTGAAGCATGAATTAAATGTTTTGGGTGAGTAACTACATTTTGCAGACATGCTATAAAGTTTTGAAGTTCCTGCAAACAGTTGTGACATTTGCACTCACAGTTTAGAGAATGTTAAGACTGTTTCGAAAAATGTGCCAAAGCAATTGAGAAAAACTGTAAGCGATTTCAATTACTCAATTACTTATAATTGAGTGGATGGATGGATGGATGGATGGATGGATGGATGGATGGATGGATGGATGGATGGATGGATGGATGGATGGATGGATGGATGGATGGATAGATGGATGGATGGATGGATAGATGGATGGATAGATGGATAGATAGATGGATAGATAGATGGATAGATAGATAGATAGATAGATAGATAGATAGATAGATAGATAGATAGATAGATAGATAGATAGATAGATAGATAGATAGATAGATAGATAGATAGATAGATAGATAGATAGATAGATAGATAGATAGATAGATAGATAGATAGGGCAGACAGGCAAACTTTTACTCTTTTTTTAAACTCTCATCTCATGTTGATAACACACACAAGCACACATACAAACGCACAGCTGAATAAGTCAAGCTAACCTCCTAATAAGCCGGGTGAATGCAGTGCTTATTTGGTTGCAGGGCTGCAGAATACAGGCTTATTAGGTTCTTTAAGTAGATCAAGAGCTCACGCAGGACTGCACACAGAGTCCCCAATTACTCATCACTATGAGGCAGTAATGGAAACAGCACTGCGAGCAGACGTAGGAGAGCAGGCGTGGTGACAGCAGACAGAAAGAGTAAAAAAAACTGCATAACCTAATGGCAGTCAACAGTGATATAGACAGCAGGTTATTTCTGAAATCAAATAGCTATTCTTTTTTTGACAAGTTCTGAGTTTGCTTTTGCTACGAATCACAAAGCGTATAATCCCAAAAGATGCTGTCAGAACAAGAGTTCACAGGTGTGCGGTGATGATATTTTTGATGCCACTGCGCCTTAAAGGGAGAATTCACACTGTAATTAAAATTACATCATCATTTATTCCCCTTAACAGCGACTTTCTTCTGTGGAACATCAACATAAAATTTGTAATAATAAAGTGGGTGAAGCTTTAAGCTTTAAAAAGGACACGCACTACCATTCAAAAGTTTCCTATGCTCACTAATGCTGCATGTAACTGATTAAAATAACTGTTTTCTATTTTACAATGTAAATTATACCTGTAATGGCAAAGCTGAATTTTCAGCATCAATACTTTTCAGGGTCACATAATCATTCAGAAATCACTCTAATATGCTGATGGTGCTCAAGAAAAAGCTCAACTGTCAATGTTGAAAACAGCCTAATATATTTGTGGAAACCGTGATATATTTTTTTTTTCCAGGATTTTTATTTATTTATTTTTGTTT